TTGAAATGTGGCAGGGGCCGCATTCAGCCCCATCGGAAGGCAGTTAAATTGAAACAACCCCTGCGGCGTACGGAATGCGGTCTTCTCCCGTGAGGGCTCGTCAAGGGGAAGCTGCCAAAATCCCGAAGAGAGGTCCAGTGTAGAGAAATACTTAGCCCCCGACAATGCGTCGAGGGAGTCGTCCATACGCGGCAGGGGATACGCATCTGCCACCGATATCTTATTCAATTTTCGAAAGTCAACACAGAATCGCAATTTGCCATCCTTTTTCTTAACCAAAACCACAGGCGCGCCCCATGGGCTGTTCGACGGCGATATAATATCCGCAGCCAACATATCCTCCACTGCCCCCCGAACGTGTTCTCGCTCGGCCGGACTCATTCGGTGCGAATTCAACCGAATAGGGGCAGCGTCGCCTGTAGCAATGTGATGGTGAAGCAATGAGGTGCGTCCCAAATCCAAATCATTGGAGCTGAACACATCGGAATACGTCAATAACAATTTATGAAGCGCACCCCGTTGATCCACAGACAGGGAAGAATTTCCGTCACATAAGCTAGCAATCCAGCGGTCATCCGAAGCCACAGGCTCGGAAACACCAGCAACCACTCCCTGGCTATGCGAACAATCGTGAGCCGTAAATGCCGTGGTGGCATGTGCCACAACCGTGCCGGCTGGGACACAGACATTTTCCGTACCCGCATTGAGCACCTGCAAAAACGGTAATTGATCTGGCCGGACGATGGTCTGCGCTCCGACCAGCGCCGATCCGGCCGTTATCGAGGCTGAAGGTGACAACAAGATCCCAACCGCTCCCAGCCGACCAGGCAGGGGCTTCCGATACCGCAGGGGAATAAGCATCTGTGAACCAGGTGGAATATCAACAGATGCCACGGATAGCGCCTGCACTTGTACGGCCGAAGCAGGTCGCCCCCAGGGCGACGGCAGAAAGGAAATTTGACGGCCACCCGGCAGTTCAATACAATTCTCATTAATTTTGATCAAAATAGGCATCTTAGCCAGAAAATCAGTGCCCAATAAACAGGGAACTGCCAAGGATCTTGAAATCAACACAACGCCCGAGGCCGACACATCCCCAATAGATATTTTAGCGTCCACCTGGCCCACGATGCCCATACTACCCCCGTTCGCAGCGACGCACGACCCGTAAACCGGACGCACGGCCCCGGGTGGGATGCCTAACAGATGAAAAATGACATCCGAAATAATAGTCGCGGACGCCCCGGAATCGACCAAAATGCGCACGTCCACCCCTTGTATAGACCCCGGCACGGTGGACGAACCCGTAGCGGCCGCAACAACCCTCCGTGCCAATTTGCGCCACTGCGTCACAGAGCGACAAGGCCCCGTCGAAGGTCCCTCTTTAACAACAACACTATGACCGCACAACGAAGGTGATGGGTGAGGTGTAAAGCCTTGCCGGGTGTCTGGTGCGTGCCGACTTGCCTGTTTCGGTGGATCCTTGGGCGGCTTGGCCGGTAATGAGGCCTCCTGTTGTGGCGGACCCGGGATGCGGGCCCAGCAGTCCTTCGCGTAGTGGCCCTTCCGTCCGCAGCGGAAGCAATCGGCGTCGTTGCGCCGAAGCGCAGGCCTTGCATCGCGCCGCCCGCGTATCGGCGGTGCAGCACGAGAGGCCGGTCCACCGCGGCCTGACCATGGCACCGAGGCGGCCGTCAGCTCCTGAGGGCCCCGCTCATCCGGCACGTATACCGACTTCGTAGGGTCCCAACCCAGAGCGCCACCCTCCGCGACGGGCCCCCCTGTCCACGCCGTGACCTGTTTCCATCGTCGTAGGTTGAATTGTGCATCCAGACATTTCGCCGCCGCCCGGGAGGTGAGCTTCTCATGCCCGCACACCGGCATGGGAATCCCAAGATCCCGCGACAGCTCGAGCATCTTGCCCAAGATGAGAGGCTCGAGCAGGTCAGGTGTTGTATCTGGATACGCGGCCATAGCCAAATCAAGCACTGCACCCCTGTACGCCACAGGCGACTCCTCGGGCGCTCGTTGTCGTTGAGCGAATCGCCGATGCGCGTCGTCAGGTGGCTCGTAGGCGTCGGCCATTTCTTGAAAAACTCCATATAATGTCCTCTTCTTCTCGGCCTTAATGGAGCGAAAAAAACGAACAGATTCGTCGTCCAGAAGAGTCGGCAACACTTCCAAGGCCTCAGCATCGGTCCATCTCGCAGAACGGACCGCCGCTAAAAATCTGCAGGCGAAAGCGCTCCAGTCGCCCCCAATGGCGAATTCCTTGACCGTGGTGAGATGGCGACTCCGACTTCGCTTCACTCCGCCCTCCGCCGATGGTTCCTCCGGAGGCAAATTCAAAATGGCGTCGAATCGCGGCGTGGTCAAGATGGCGGATTCCCGCCGCGGCACGCGCAAGATGGCGGCCTCCTGCCGCGTGGCCCATGGCGCCGGGAGTGAAGAACCCGTGGCGGCCTGTGGAGCACTCTCCGCTCTCTCCGTCGCCGTGCTTGGGGTGACGAGATGACACAATTGGCCCAGGGCGTCCTTGAGAGTCTCCAGTTGCTCAGCCACCTGCAGCCATCGCCGATCAGCGTCTGATGGTGTCGGCGGCCCTGACACTGTGGCTACATCTTCCACTCCCGTCCCCGCACTCGTTTCAGCAGGGCTCTCCTCCACCACCCTGGCAGGATCCATGTTTGGAGGGAAGTCTTCGTCTTCGGACGAAGAAGCCGATGCCGGCGCTGGAACATTTTTCTTTCTCACTTGTTTCGACATGCCGTTGCACTTCCGACACCAATGTAATAAAAGACTCGACCACGATGTCTGGCTTGGTGTCCTTTATTCGGTTCTTCTCTCTTAACCCGCACGGCTGTCCTTCTATAAGACTCTATACTGACACTGATACTGCTCTCCTGCAGTTTCTCCCCTCGTCGTTCTCTCAGCCTCTCTCTCCTCTCGTCGCTCTCGTAGCCTCTCCCTCACACACAGCCTCGCCGGCTGTGTTCCCCGCAGCTCCTCGTCCGCCTTCTCTCCAGCCGCCCCACCGCTGTCTTCTCTCGCAGCTCCGCTGGCTGCTCCCTTAGCTGGCCACCGCTGGCCGCCGCTGCCACCCCTTGGCTTTGCCCACGTGGCCTTACTCTGGTCCAGTCCCACTCGTTCTGCCTTCCTCTTCCGGTCTCCTCCCTTAAGAACCTTAACCTTTCCTCCCACGTCACCTAACTCCACCTCTCCGTGACGTCACATCCGGGAGGTCGCCCGCGCCCGCATTACATTAAGAAGGGGGACCGCACAGACTGTAACTACAGGGGCATCTCACTCCTCAGTGTGCCGGGAAAGGTCCTGGCAAGGATTATTCAACATCGCCTTGCTAAGCACGCTGAGGAGGGGCTTGCGGAGCCCCAATGTGGTTTCAGGAAAGACCGGTCCTGCACAGATGCCATATTTTCTGTCCGTCTGCTACAGCAGAGATGTAGGGAATTCTAACAAGACCTACATCTCTGCTTTATTGACCTGGTCAAGGCCTATGACACCATCAGTAGGCCTGGGCTCTGGGTTGTTCTTCGTGCTTTCGGAGTCCCTAACCCTCTGCTCACGATCATTAAGGACCTTCATGATGGTGAGCGGGCCCGGGTAAAACTACGTGGCCGGGAGTCAGAGCCTTTCCCTGTACACCTTAGGGTGCGGCAGGGATGTCCTCTGGCTCCCACATCTATTTTGACCGCGTAGTTCGTGAAGCCTTCAATAGTTGTACCGGGGGAATTTCCATTTGGTACAGATATAATGGCAGGCTGATCGATGCCCAGGTGCGATCAAGGGATGGCTCCCTATTGGTCAACCACGTTATGTATGCCGATGATTTGGTAATAGCTGCTCCTTCAGAGGAGGAGTTGGAGACGCTGCTGCTGAGACTGGAGTGTGCCACTAAGAGGTGGGGCCTTACCATCAGCCCCACCAAAACTAAGCAACTGCCTAGGTATTTGTACCATCGGACACTCCACCCCCACAACTCCCAATTGGTGATGGGGCAGTTGTGGAGAGAGTGGAGAGTTTCCCATACCTGGGCAGTGTGCTTATGACCGGCTCCAGTTTATCAGCAGAGGTCTCACTCCGAATCAGTCGAGCGGCAATATCTTTTCATCGGTTGCGTAACGCTGTGTGGAAGCTACCTGGTCTGTCGCTCCGCACGAAGCTTCAGGTCTTCTCGGCCACGGTCATTCCCTCCCTTCTCTACGCTTGCGAAACGTGGACCCCCCTAGTGGAGCATCTTCGCCGGTTGGAAACATTTAGGCAGGCCTGCCTACGATCCATCCTGGGTTTAACCAGGCTGGATTGTGTGAGGAGCTCACAAGTCCTTGAAAGATCTGGGCAAAGTCCCATCAGTGAGCTCCTCCGGCAGGCAAGGCTGCGTTGGCTGGGTCATGTAGCCCGCATGCCCAGCCACCGCATGCCTAAACAGCTTTTGTTCGGCCGGATCGAGGGGGCTAAACGGGCGCGGCACGGGCTAGAGAAGAGATGGAGTGATGTGGTACAGGAGGACGTGGAGCTGAGTGGACTTGCCGATGACTGGTACCAGCGGTGTCAAGATCGGCCTCAGTGGAGGAGGCTCGTGAAGGACGCTACTGGGCAGTTGGAGGCAATCGCCCTCCAACAACAACGGAGGGCGGAGGAGCGACGCTCACAACAACGAGCGGAGCGCCGGGTGGCTAAAGCACAGCAAGTTGGTACAGTAGGGGGCACAGGTGGCGCATCAGCCAGTCATCTCGGTCATCTCGGTCAGTCGACCCGTGGCACCTGGGTCTGCCCCGTGACCTCCTGCCAGCGGGCGTTCGACACTTCACGTGGCCTCAAGGTGCACATGGCCTGGCACAAGCGTCGTGGTGCCGTCACCACCACTTAGTGGCGAATGGCGGTTGTTGTTGTTGTACATGTGTGTGTGTACGTGTGTGTGTGCGTGTGTGTGGACGTGTGTGTACGTGTGTGTGTGTGTACATGTGTGTGTGTGCGCGCACTTGAGGAGTCGTATGGCCAGGGTCGTGTTGTCTCCCTCCACCTGCAGCCCCTGGTGAGGGATGTCCATAGCGGACAGCTGCACACACAGACACCAAAGACAAAGGTCCCCCGTGTAGCCTTATCAGAGTTGTTGGGGCAAGTTCTGTTAGTGAGTAGCAGCACCTATGAAGGCCAGCACTCTGGTGGCCAGCATCACGCCCGGCCGCCTTTGTCTTCCCAGTGGCGATGTTCACTACACACCGCACCAGGTACTCATTTGAGGCTGAGTCAACCTAGGGGAGGCCCAGGACCAGTTCAGATAATCGCTGTCAGCTGGTGTCGGTGGTCTGAGCGGGAATCGAACTCGTGGCGCAGCGCGCTAACCGCTGCGCCACCACTCCCCATAATACATTTTGGGTGCCATGGTGGCCAGGAGATGTTAACTGCCTCGCCAGGTATGCAGGAGGTCGTGGGTTTGATACCGATGCTGATGCCTGTTGCAATTTTGGAGTTTACGTGTCTCTCTCTCATCATCGTCGCGGTGGCCAGGAGATGTTAACTACCTCGCCAGGTATGCAGGAGGTCGTGGGTTTTTCTCTGGGTCCCCCGATTTCTCCCTCCACATTTGGAGTATTTGACTGCTTTAAATTTCCAGACGGTGATGATGATGGTGATGATGATGGTGAGGATGGTGATGGTGATGATGATGGTGATGATGATGGTGATGATGATGATGGTGATGATGATGGTGATGATGTTGATGATGATGGTGATGATGATGGTGATGATGATGGTGATGATGATGGTGATGATGATGGTGATGATGGTGATGATGATGGTGATGATGATGATGGTGATGATGATGGTGATGATGGTGATGATGATGGTGATGATGATGGTGATGATGATGGTGATGATGGTGATGATGATGGTGATGATGATGGTGGTGATGATGATGGTGATGATGATGATGGTGATGATGATGGTGATGATGGTGATGGTGGTGATGATGGTGGTGATGATGGTGATGGTAATGATGATGATGGTGATGATGATGGTGATGATGATGGTGATGATGGTGATGGTGATGATGATGGTGATGATGATGGTGATGATGATGGTGGTGATGGTGATGATGGTGATAATGATGGTGATGATGGTGATGATGATGGTGATGATGGTTATGATGATGATGGTGGTGATGGTGATGATGGTGATGATGATGGTGATGATGATGATGGTGGTGATGGTGATGATGGTGATGATGGTGATGATGATGGTGATGATGATGATACGCCACTTGCTGGAGCTATCATTTGTCTGAGAAAGAGCTACGTGGCTCAGTGGGCCTTACAGGGGGTACAACAAAAAACAACATCTACACGCACACACACAGATCCCAATGCACGTTCTCCCCCCGTTCTGCAGAATGTGCGAGCGAGCGAGCAGTCATCATCTTGCCGCTAGCGGCAGGAGGCTGCCGCTGGGGGTGCTCCCACGGCGTGACCCACACAGCCACAGCAGACCCTGTAACGCTGCAGATCTGACCGGCCACATCCGTCCAGTGCTCGCCGAGCCAGATTGGCTTCCGGTTGCCCAACGGATGCGTTATGAGGTGGCGCTCGTTACGCACAAAGCGCTTGCGACAAACGAACCACGACACCTCGCCGCTGATCTCGTCAAGGAGAATAAACCCTCATCATGCCGACTCCGGGCATCCTCGCAGCAGCAGCAGCAGCAGCGGCTTCTGGGTAACCATCAGACGCCCGCCGCGTTGCTCGGCACTTTCGGGCACGCTTCTGTGGCCGTCTGGAACACTCTCCCTTCTGGCGCGAGGAAGCCGCTGGAGCAATGCACCTTCAGATCGACCAACTCGGGACTTTAGAACTGCTCTGTGTGCTTAGTTTGCTGTCCTTCCCCCACCCCTCCGATTAGCGCGGTTGGCTACGTACAGTGCAAAATAAATTCAACATTTATACACAGAGACCCACAGACACCCAGACCCAGACACACCCACAGAGACCCACAGATACCCAGACTCAGACACATCCACAGAGACCCACAGACACCCAGACTCAGAGACACCCACAGAGACTCGCAGACACCCAGACCCAGAGACACCCACAGAGACCCACAGATACCCAGACCCAGAGACACCCACAGAGACCCACAGACACCCAGACACACCCAGACACACCCACAGAGACCCACAGACACACACAGAGACCCACAGACACACCCACAGAGACCCACAGATACCCAGACCCAGATACACCCACAGAGACCCACAGACACCCAGACACACCCACAGAGACCCACAGAGACCCACAGACACCCAGACCCAGAGACACACACAGAGACCCACAGAGACCCACAGACACCCAGACACACCCACAGAGACCCAAAGAGACCCACAGACACCCAGACACACCCACAGAGACCCACAGACACCCACAGAGACCCACAGACACCCACAGACACCCACAGAGACCCGCAGACACAGAGACACTCACAGAGACCCACAAACACCCAGACACACCCACAGAGACCCACAGACACCCAGACCCAGAGACACCCACAGAGACCCACAGACACCCAGAGACACCCACAGAGACCCACAGAAACACACAGAAACACACAGACACCCAGACACACCCAGACACACCCACAGACACCCAGACCCAGAGACACCCACAGAGACCCACAGAAACACCCACAGAGACCCACAGACACACAGAGACACAGATTAGCCCTGTTGGCTCCACATGGTGCGAAAAAAATTCACCGTACGTACAAACCAACAGCCATCATCGCCCCACGACTAAAAGCAGATGGATGCACAGGGCCAGCTGCCACTGGGTGCCCCTAGGCTAGACCTACTCACAAACACGCAAACATGTGGAGTTTCTCTCTCTCTCTCTCTCTCACGGTGGTTGTGGGTTTTTTCTCCGGATCCTCTGGATCCTCCGGTTTCCCCCCTTCACATGTAGAATCGTGCAGTGAGCTTATTTACATTACTTTGCTGCTGCTGCTGCTGCTGCTGCGATGAATATGCACGTGACACTAAGCCACTTTGTGGAGCTATCGTTTGTGGTGGGCAGATCGCTTCTGGGAGAAAAAGTGAATACCTCGGTGGGCTTCGCCTGGGAGGGTGAGGATGGTATTCTCTGCCCGCGAACAGTTTTCGTAAATTAAAACTCTCAAAATAAACGATCGGATAAATCACTCAAAATGAAGCACAACTGACGATTTTGATTGTTACTCTTTCGACTTAGAACAAATACTAATGATCGGCCGCTCGATGATGCGCGTGCTCAGTGATGATAACACTTTCCTGGCTGACAGCAGAGCCACGCCAATCAACATCAATCAAACTCCACCCCACTGTGGGAAAGATATTGCAACTACTGTGCTGTAGGGGCAATCACGTGGATTTCGGACTAAGCGGAGCCACACATGTGTTGGGTTTCAGCACTGTGTGACTTGCAGTGAACACTTTCACGAGTTATTCATCTACGAGTTATTAATTTACGTCAAAATCTAAGGTACGCGGTTAATCCGCAAATTGGATAAACCGCAGGCGGATAATCGAGTTTTCGGTTAACGGGTTAACGGCAGAGTCCTAGACAATGCCCCTGGGATGCGTCACGCAGGCCGAGGCGCGGGCCGGGTCGGCATCTAGAAGCAGCATCCCAACACCTCGCCGTGGCGACGACGACGACGACGCTACGCCGAGGCGGCCGCTGCAACCACCGCTCTCATTCCTACTCGCGTGCGAGGCCCTTGGGCACCTGCTGGCTCCGTGGCGTTCCATCGCCATCACCGACCATCCAATCACCTCGTGGCGCATGCAGACGAAGGGCAGGCTGCTGTCGCACACGGCCACCAGGTGCGCCAGCTCGCGGTTGTGAGCACTCGGCTCGCCGGACAGGCGCGGCCGCTTGGCGTCAGGTGACGGCGCAGCGCCACCCATCGCCGCTGTCGCTGCAGCCGCGGGGGCAGCGGCAGCCTGGCGGAGGTGCACGCACACACACGCGCGTACACGCATGTACACGCACGTACACACACACACGCACGCACACACACGCACACACACGCATGTACACGCACACATGTACACGCACGCACACACACACGCATGTACATGCACGCACACACACACACGCATGTACACGCACGCATGTACACGCAAGCACACACACACACGCTTGTACACGCAAGCACACGCACACACGCTTGTACACGCACGCACACACGCATGTACACACACGCACACACACACGCATGTACACGCATGCACACGCACGCACGCACACACAAGGGGTATTCACGTACACACATGGGGGCATGGCACACGAGCGAGTGGGTGGCCAGCACCACGCCCGGCCGCCTTTGTCTCCCCAGTGGTTTATTTACTGCACAACACACCAGGTACTCATTTAAGACAGAGTTGACTTAGGGGAGGCCCAGGATCAGTTCAGACAATCGTCACCGGTGTTGGCTGTGAGCGGGAATCAAACTCGGATTGCCGACTTTGGGGGCAAGTGCCGACACGGCATTTGTACACACAAGTTCACGAACACACGTACACACACATACACACACGTACACGTACACACACACACATACACGTACACACACACACGTACACACACACACATACACGTACACACACACACGTACACACACATACACACACACGTACACACACGTACACACACACGTACACACACACGTACACACACACACACACGTACACACACACGTGCACACACACACACGTACACACACACGTGCACACACATACACACACACATACACACACACACACACGTACACACACGTACACACACGTACACACACGTACACGTACACACGTACACACGTACACACACGTACACACACACACACGTACACACACGTACACACACACACACACGCACACACGTGCACACACGTGCACACACACGTGCACACACACACACGTACACACACACGTACACACACACACACACGTACACAACAACGACCGCCATTCGCCACTAAGTGGCGGTGACGTCACCACGACGCTTGTGCCAGGCCATGTGCACCTTGAGGACACGTGAAGTGTCGAACGCCCGCTGGCAGGAGGTCACGGGGCAGACCCAGGTGCCACGGGTCGACTGACCGAGATGACCAAGATGACTGGCTGATGCACCACCTATGCCCCCTACTGTGCCAACTTGCTGTGCTTTAGCCACCCGGCGCTCCGCTCGTTGTTGTGAGCGTCGCTCCTCCGCCCTCTGTTGTTGTTGGAGGGCGACTGCCTCCAACTGCCCAGTAGCGTCCTTCACGAGCCTCCTCCACAGAGGCCGATCTTGA